CAAATAATACATAAAACGGAAATATTTAATCATTTCTTGCGCGGCCCGGTACCAATAGACCCTTTTCACAGTGACGTCAGACATTGGCCGCCATAACTCGAAGCGGTGTATCTTTACTTCCGCTGTGATTTTGCCTCGGGAAAACATACTGAAAAATTCATGGATACTCATTATCTTAAGGATATAATAAAAGGTAAGGTTAATAATAACAGCATTTAAGTGTTAGCCGTTATTACTCACTGTCAATCCACCATTCTCTGACTGTGTATAAAATAAACAGCCTCCAAACGGAGAGTAAACCAGCTAGCAGCAGCTTTAGACACAGTTGGGAACATATATACACCGCTGTCTGTCAGTTTTGTAACGTTAAAAGGTTCACTTTCTGTATTAACTGTAATAAAACAGTATATGTTAGCCTTCCTCCAACTGTATTTAAAGGAACCAGTCTCCGATCGGAGAGTAAACCAGCTAGCAGCAGCTTTAGCCACAGTTAAGAAAAATATACACTGCTCTGTAAGTGCTGTAACGTTTAGAGACTCACTTTATTTATCAACTTTAATAAAACAGCATTTAAGTGTTAGATAACCGTCATTACTCATTGTCAATCCACCATTCTCTGACTGTGTATATAATAAACAGCCTCCGATCGGAGAATAAATCAGCTAGCAGCAGCTTTAGCCACAGTTAGGAAACATACACGGACACCGCTATCTGTCAGTGCCGTGTTGTTAAGTTTCACTAAAATCACTGACATCTTCCAACACTGTTGTTTAGAAAAGCATTTTAAATATTGATTTAAGCGCTATCTGCCAAATAATTTACATATTCTGATGTGACTCATAATTTCTCCATTTGTTTTGTTGTCCATCTTTCTCAACAGTAGCCGACCTAACAACCTACCATATCTGGGATGGTCTTGTTCTTCTGTCCATGACAGGTTCAGTCAATCAGCTGTGGGACATCTGCTGCCTAACGTCAAACTATCATGGGCCTCTTGATTTAAAAGGAGAAACCAGTACAGAGCCTCCCTGCTCCTGCAAGCCACATTTCTTGGATGAACACTCACTACTGCAGCTGTTAGAAATGAAATCTTTGTGTATCTATTCTGTAGTTAATATATCTATATGTATCTATTAATAAATTAATTGATGTTGTGTAGAGTTCTGTAAAAAAAACTATTGTTAATACCTTTTCTTGAGTAATCTACATATGTGCAACTTTTACATTTAAATTGCTTCTTTTTGTAAATTTTACACATCTGGCAACAAAGTATGTGGAGGAGAGGAAATGCTAAAATTAAAGCTGCTATTGTGGACCAAAGACATAAGGTTTGTGGCTGTTTCTTTAAAACATCTATTTAATAATTATATTAAACACTACATGGTTACTACATTACACAAACATAATTACCACAGTTAACAATTTAAGTCATTGATAGAGAAAATGTATTTACAAAAGGCATATCAATTTTATTTCAACAGTATGTACTCAGGGTTTACAACTTAAGAAGACATCCATGTAGGGTCCTTGGCGGGTGCCAGTCTGCAGTGAACTGGTGGATAACAGAGGCAGTGGTATACTGTAATGAGCAGTTTGAAGCAGAAGTCCCACCATGTGATCCACAGGGTTTTCCCACCTCAGCACAAACTTCATGCACTTTGTTTCCACAGGCACCACAGCAGAATCAAGTGTAACCTGTTAAAAGGGATATAAAGGTGTTATTCCTATGTTATCAATTTTCTACTGCCAAGTCTACAACCGCAGGAAAACAAAGTATAAGAAACTTAACCTTCTAATCATAGGTTAAGTTAATGAAGTTAATGAGCTTATATATATCTATATATATAT